CACTTCCATTCCCCTCCCCCCTCCCTACCGCCACCAACAACCTCCATCCACCTTCCTCCTGTTTTTCCTGAGAGCCAATAGAAACCCTGTTGCCAGGTGGAATGCTCATTTGAATCAGCCAATCCAGGAGCCTAACTGCTCGCCCAGCCTTATATGGGGATGTGAGGAGGGCCACTCCCCCACTCCAGCCCCTTGAGGGACCGGCCCCTCCACCGTCCTTTCTCCCCCGCCCTTGGGGGGACTAGGACCCTCCTTCCTAAGGGCCCAGGCTTCCCATTTCTCTAACTGGGACTACCAGGGTTAGTTAGTTTGGGCTGTGGGCCGGATTGTGGGCTGGGCCTCAGCGTTGAGGGTGGGAATGAGGTGTGATTAGGAAAGGCGAGGCGGAGGGAGCCGGGAATTTTGCCCAGGGAGGGGTGTCTGGGAGCGGAGGCAGCTGCAGTGGAAAATTCCAGGGCGCTGGAGAGGCGGAGAATGGGAATCGCTCCCCAAGGCTCGAGGGATCGCCCAGAGAATCGAAGAGCGTGGACTCTAGGGTCCACAGCGAATCTGAGAGAGATGTCCAGGGTCCGGAGGCCTGGCTCTAGCTCCCGGGCTGCGTGGGGAAGCAGCCTTAGCCCGCCCACCTTCTTGCCCTACACCAGGCTCCTGAACTCGAGGCTTCGAGGAAAAGCAGCTGGACCAAAACTTGGGATGAATCTGAGCGGGGTGCTGAGCCAGCCCAGAGTCCTCGGGTCGGGGTGTCAAATGCGAGCCTGCTCCTTTCCACGCCGAGGGCCCGGCTCCTCGAGTTCTCCTACTCCTCACCCTTCTGCCTGAAGAGGGGAAACCCCTGTCTCTGACAAGTCCTCTGAAAGTGGTAAAATGAGGGTAGGTGAGCAAGGGAGGCCGGAGCCCCCTCCGAAGCTATGATTTCTGGCCTGACAGCCCAGAAATTCACCTTGTTACTCCACTTGGCAGAACTCAGTTCTAATCACTCCATCCGGGTTTTCCGTGTGTTTATCCCATAGGGTAAGTGCTGAGAGAGGCCTGGTGGTCACCCAGAAACCTGACGGCTGGCCCATCCCTGCACCTTCTTTTACTTCTTTATCCCCATTCCAATTCCATTGACCTCATTTTCTACTCGTTTTTTCTTTGCTTTTTTTTAAAATCTTTTAAAAACTCAAGTCAATGCAGACTTGAGAGGAGATGGACTCTTCAGAACGGCCTAACTTATGATCGTGTTTGAGACACATACACACCCTGCAATGTTCAACAAGGGAGGAGCTGAGTGGTGGCTAAAAGCAGGTGGACTACAGGTTGGAAGACCCACTTGGGCCCTCTGGGGAGAACCTGTCTCAAAATAAAAAGAGCTGGGATGTAGCTCAGTGTGAAGTCCCTGGGGTCCAATGCTCAGTATCACCTTAAATAAATCAGAAACGGTCTTTACAACAGCTCTAAGGGGTCTCCATGGTGAATGCTACTAGTCAATCTAATCAGGTCTCAGCAAACATCTAGCATCTAAATCTACCGTAACTGGTGCTGGGATCACAGGCATGCGCCACAGCCCCGCCAAGATACCATTTAGACTCATCCCAGAGCCTTCTCCACCGTCTTTCCTTTCTTTTTCCCTTCTCATATTTTTAAAAAGCTTCTTTCTTTACATGGGCTAGGAAAGCGTATAATGATGCAGGGCATGTTGCCAAGATACCCAGTTCTCCTCTGCCTGACGGGATCATCTTGTTAACAACTTTTTGTGGTTTTCCTACTTTCCCCAGCAAAAAGAAGTGGTTTCCTCATTGCACCTCTCCTGCCCAGGAATCGAACAGCTTCTCTATTCTTTTCATACCTGGAGCACTACACTGTTGTCACCCTCTTCTCCCACCAACATTTCCTGCTCTCCAGCTCTGTGCACCAGAACATTCAGTAGCTAGGTAGATGCACTCACTGAATGCTGGGAAAGGGGCCGGTGCAACTGAGACAGTGAATTTACTTTTATTTATTTTGGATTGAACCTACAGCCTCTGCATTGAGCTACATCCCCACATCACCAACCCTTTAAAGAAATTATTTAAAATTTTTATTTTGAGACAGGGACTTGCTAACGCGTTAACTTGCTCAGACTAGGTTTAAATTTATAATCCTCCATGGCCGGGCGTGCTAGCACATGCCTGTAATCCCAGTACTTGGGAGGCTGAGGCAGGAGGAGCACTGTGAGTTGGAGACCAGCCTGGGCTACATAGTGAGTTCCAGGTCAGTCTCAACTACATAGTGAGACACTGTCTCCAAAACAAAAAACAAAACAAAAAAACAATGCAAAAGGACTGGATTTAATCCCTAGGAAAAAAAGGACCAAGACTGACAGCTATAGGTTTGGCTCAAAAGGCAAAGGGAAGGAGCACTTTGCACTGAGGCAATGACAGCAGTGTACCCTTCTGGGTGAGTTTGGCCCCTGGGGTTTCTTCTCTTGCAGGGTCCAGAGAAGCACACACTTCAGACCCTAAGTCCCAAATCTCCAGTGTGGGGCTTTCTGCTGAGTGCCAGTCGTGACCGTGACCACAGTCCAGTCCGGGCTCTACCTCCGAGGGCGGTGCTGTCTTCCCTTCACCCATTGGTGGGAAGGGACAGCCTAGACTCCGCATTTCTGTCCTGACTTCGGCTTCCTAGGTCCTCCACATTCTTTGGATGCCTCCCCTTCAAGCCCATCCTGGCTCTACTCAAAGGATCCCGCTGTATAGCCCAGGTTGGCCTCAAGCTCGCAGCACTCCTGCCTCAGACTTCCCAGCACCAGTATCAGAGGTGCACGCCACGCTGGCCCCTTACTGACATTAAGCTTGAATTCCCTATGGGTTTCAACCATGCTTAAGGACCGGTGTCTCTTCAGCACCTGGCCAAGCATGCTCCAAGCCCTGGGTTTGATCCCCAGCCCTGAAAAGAAAAAAAAGAAAGAGAGAGAGGAAAAAGAGAGGAGAGAAGAGAGGGAGAGGGAGGGAGAGGTGGGGGAGGGGGGAGAGGGAGGAGAGAGAGAGACAGGCTTCTTGGAACACATAAACTGCTTTTTTACCTAAAATTCAAGCACGCTGTTGGCTTTCCCAACACTGCTGCTCTGCCCTCACTGTTCAAACATCCAGCAGCCTGGGGCTCCTCCAGATGTGTGACCTCACATGCAGAGGGCCCTTTGCTGCTCTGCTGTCCCTGCTCACAGACTTCCTGCCTGGCTTCATGAGAGAGCACAGATGTGGGGATCACAGTGGTTTGTTCTTTTCCTTCCAGCAACCTCACCCTCCTTGGCCTAGCTGGGCAGAGACTGCCCTCCCACCTCCATGATGGCACCTATAACGTCATCTGTAACACACACACACACACACACACACACACACACACACACACCCCCTCACACACGCCAGTCCCCAGGGCTCTTGCTCACAATTTACTGGAGAAGGAAGGAGGGGGGGAGGGAGGGAGGGAGGGCAGATGGGCCCAAAAGAGGTAAGAGAAGGGAAAGGAAGATGGAAGGGTGAAGGCAGACATAGACTGTTCACTTGAGAAATTACAGCCTGTCTGCTGCATCTCCAGGGATTCTGAGAATGCCCTCTTGCGTCTCCTCCATTCCTACTTGTTCAAGATATTTTTTAGACAGGGTCTCACTATGTAATTCAGGCTGGCCTTGGACTCATAGCAATCCTCCTGCCTCAGCCTCCCAAGTGCTGGGATTACAAGTATGCATCACCACATCTGGCTGTAAGAAGCTAAATTATAATTTGTAAATATTATCAGGAGTGATAATTCATGATTTTAAATCACAAAAAGGTAAAAATGAAGATGGGTGAGGTGATACACACACCTGTAATCCCTGCTATTTAGGAGGCTGGGACAGGAGGGTCACAAGCTTCAGGCCAGACTGGGAAACTTAGTAAGACCTTGCCCCATGCATTCATAAAAAGAAAGAAGGAAGGAAAGAAGTGGGGGGGACAGAAAGACAGGGAAAGAGAAAGAGGAGGGAGGGAAGAAAGGAGGGAGAGAAAGGAAAAAGGAAGGAAAGAGAGAAGGAAGGAAGCAAGCAAGCAACCGAGTGAGCTGGGATGCGATTTAGTGGCACAGTGCTTCCTAGCATATGTGAGGCCCTAGGTCAGTGTGGTAAACCCATGGCACCTGTGTGAAGGAACATTAACATTTGTTGATTGGCTAGGCAATCAGGAACTCGCTTTGAAGCCTAACATGGCCGCCATGCCGGTGATCCTGGCACTCTGAAGGCTGAGGCAGGAGGATCACTGGAAGTTTGAGGCCAGCCTGTGGTACATAGTGAGTTCAAGGCCAACCTGAACTACATACCAAGACTGTCTCAAAAAACAAAACAAACAAAAGAACAATAACAAAAAAACCTTGCTTTGGAAGGAGAGCAAAAAAAAAGACCTGGGAAGGATTCCCCAGTTAGGTCTGGGTCACAGAATGCTCATGGGGTTAACATGTTTGCGTGTCAACCTGCTCTCCTTTGGGACAAGGGGAAAGGGCAGCTGCACGGTAGAAATGTCCAGAAATTTAAGAGGTTTTACTAAGTTTCTTCCCCAGAAATATCAATGAAAAACTAATCTTGTGTTTTTTTCGGTTTTTCTTTGACTTTACCAGTCAGGCAGCTTATTTCTGTTATCTGTCTCGGTTCCCCAGTCTTACTAGTATTTCCTCTTTAATAAAGATCAAGTCCAAAGAAAGTGGAGAAGCCTAACCCAGTCTCTTCTGAGTCACCAGGGACCCTCTCCTCCTCCCCCAGGGAGCAGTCAGGAACTAGTCTTTCTCCTGGGGTCACAAAGTACTAACCCTACTGCTGGCTAAGAGCCAGAGTAAAGAACTGGGGGGCGGGGGGGGGGCGACGTTTGGACGAGCCAAGTTCAAAGTCTGCCCAGTACAGTTCAAATCCCTGACCCCAGAGGGAGGGCCCATCTCTCCAGTAGGGCCAGATTTTATGCCAGACATTTAGCATGTCAAAGTATCAGGTCCTGGGCTTGAAGTTCAGCCTCCTGGACCCAGTTTTTGCTCCGCCCCCGAGTGATCCTAGTTCTCTGAGCTTTCCACCCCTTGCCTCTCCCAAATTTAAGACCCTAGACCCTAACCTTAAGACCTTACTTTACTAAAGGCACGAAAGCTCAGCGAAGTACTGACGGCTTCTGAGGACAGTATTAGGGAAAAGAAAGGGAGATTAGCTCTAAACTAGAAGATTCCAGGGGCCAGGGATGAAGCTCTGCGGCAGAGCACGTGCTTGGCACGCAGGAGGCCCTGTTCCAAACCCAGCATCAAAAAAAAGAAAAGGAACCCCAACCCTAACGGGTTTCAGAAGCAGAGCTTCGCCAGATAAACCTCCCAGATGGGTCACTGGGCGGCCAGCAGCTGGGCCAGCACCAGGTCCCCAGGGCAGGAGGTCCACCCTGGCCGAGGAGCGCCACCTGGCGGCCGGCCTCGCGGCCTAGCTTCTCCGTCCCCGTCCGACTCTTCGAAGCGGGAACCGGCCTCCGGCTGGAGCGGCGC